GGGCAAAAATTGTGTTTTTTTTTTTTTTTTCTTTTTCCCAGAGCACATGGCGATGACCAGAGAGACAGAACAGAGAGAAATGGGGAGAGAGAGAGAGCACCCCTCACTGGGGCATGGCCATGCTGCAATCTCCTCCTCCATTTCTTCACGCTATCTAGATTTAGGCATGCATGCACATGTGCCTGGTGTGTTTTGCAAGCCACCTGGGCCAGGACTCGAACCACAGGGATGGCCATGTGGGATGTGGCTGCCTTAATCATCAGGTCAAGGGCCAGCGTGAAATCTGGGTTTTAACAAGCTTTCCAGATGATGCGGGCGTCTGAAGCTGGAGGGCCAGGTGCTCCAGGAGGGTGTTAGGCTGCATGTGTCAACCCCTCACCTCGCAGCACCACCGAAGGCGGGCCGCCAGGCAGCAGGCCGCAGAGGAAAGCCCCAGCGCACTGAGCCCTCCCACCGCCCTTTCCGCCGCCCACTGGGAAGCCCGTCATTGTCACTCCGACGACTCAGTCTCCAGACTGTCCGCCTTTCCTCCTGCGTATGTGCAGCCGTGTGCAGCCATGTCCTCCGCCTCCCACGCCCCTCAGGGGCTCCAAGCTCTTGCTCTCAGGAGCCCAGGCTCCCCGGGCTGCTCCGAGCTCCTGCCCTCGCTGATCCCATCTCCGAGTCTCACATGTGTCCCCTGTTCTGTACTTGAGCCGTCCTCACTGCCTGGAGCTGCCTGGGTGTGCCCTGCAGCCCTTCCAGCAGGGTGCTGTGTGGACGGTCACTGAAGTCTTCACCTCAGGGAGTTTCGACCTCCCCTCAATCACCAGCCGCTGCCCTAGGCATCATGCCCCCGTCCTCATCTCTGGAGGGGTCATCGCAGTGGCGTTAGGAGGAGGAGGGCACTCCAGTGCCCCGCTTCCCCCCAGGCAGGGTAAATGCCTGTCCCTGATCCACATGGTACGTGTGCCGGGGCTGATCTCTCCTAGAGGCACCCCAGGGGGAGTTCTGTTCTCACCCCACTTACAAACGAGGACACTGGGGTGCAGAAGGGCCCCTAGCTGGGTCCAGGCCCTTTCCTACAAACCTGAGCGATCTGGCCCCACAGTCAGCTCAGAGTCACTAGGCTACATGCTTTTGGGGGGAGTCATGAAGCCTGGTGGCTTAGAAAACGAGCTGGGGAGTCCTGGGCCTGGTGGCTTAGAAAACGAGCTGGGTGTGTGCACACCCAAAATCCCAAGGGGAGAATAGAGGAGAAGGGATTGCAGCATGGCCCTCCCCTCCACCCAAAGGGGGGTACACTCGAGTGCATGTTCTCTCGTTCTCTCTCTTTGTATCTCTCAGGTAAGTGTATGTGCCCTGTAACAAAAGTGAAAAAAGAAAAGAAATAAAAGAAAGAAAAACTTGCGGGTACAAGCGTGTGCGTGCGCAAAATGCTGAGAGAAGTGGGGGAGAGGGGATTGCGGCATGGCGTCTCTCATGGGGTGTTTCCTCCTCACTTTCCCTTTCTGTCTCTGTTACTGTAATGAGAGACTTCTTTCTGAGAGCAGAGTCTGAAGGTAAGAAGTGGGACTGCGGCAGAGGCGGGGCCACACAGGATTATACGTGTAAGGGGAAAAGAGGTTCGGAGGGTCCGTGAGCCTCGCCAGGTGACACGGGCTGTGCTACCCTGCAAGGAACATGTGTTTGGACTAAAAGAATGATGTGTTCCTGTGGCTGCTCTAGCCAAGAGCGAAACACCGGGCACCCACCTCTGTGTGCCCTCGGGTCTGGTGGCTTGCCACCCCGACGGCCAGTGCTGGCTGGACCCCTGCGCGTATTCCTACACAGACAGTGAGTGCGGCGAGGGTCTCCTGCAGGGAGCCTGAACCTTCCGGCTTCTCCTCAGAGTTCTCTGCACTCCAGACAAACAGACAGACAGACACGAAAGACCAAACTTTGTGATGTTAGGAGTTCATCACGACTCACCTAAAAAGTCCGTCTGTTGGGCCAACCCCACAGCCCAGTGGCTAGGGAAAGCCAGATCTCACATGGCTGACTGCAGGCTGAGTCCTGGCCTCGGTGGTTTGAAAAACACCCTAAAAACCACTGTGTGTAAGTGTGTAGGTGGAGAAATGCAGGTGAAGGAGTCGTGGGGACCACACCTCAGTAGGCGGTACTTTCTCTCTCTGTCTCTGTCTCTCGTTGGTGAGCACATGCACTCTGTGACCATCTTTATTTTTAAACTTTCTTTTTTTTGAGAGGTTTTTGCTATAGGGCACATGCGCTCGCCAGACAGACAGAGAGAGACAGAAAGCGAGAAATCACCCCCCAGGGGGGATGGTCACGCCGCAATCCCTTCTCCTCCATTCTCCTCTCGGGATCTTGGGCACGCACGCACACGCGCCACCAGGTCTGGGACTTGAACCGCAGTTGACTACATGGGAGTTCAGCAACATAGCCATTATGCCAACTGCTGGTCCCTAAACTTAGACAACTGAAAAGTCAAAGAGACAAATATAGCTACGTTTCTGAGGTCACCTATCTGGAAATCGATCTTTCACTATTTTATCAGAGAAATTCTTATTTGTGTGTCTACTGGCTGAGGTTCCTGGCTGGCACGACTTTCTCCTGTGTGCATTTACAGAGGAGCACTTGTAAGCCTGGGGACTCAGGGTCATTGGGAGGACAAAGTCCTCGAAAAATATTGAGCATGAACCAAAAATGCTGAGAAGGAAGAATCTCTATCCTTTCAGAATCCTGTGATAGAAGGAAGTTACGACTAGAACCACAGGCTGCCACAAATTCTGTGGAGGAGTTACATGTCTTTTATTTACTCAGTCTTTTGAAAGAGGAGAGCGACAGGTAGGTGAAAGCCAGGCTTTCGCGCTGAAGCTTTGCCTTTTGACTTGCTGGTTAGTTGTCCGCATGGCTCTGGCCCAGGTGGTTCAGTGCTCATGTACAGGGACAGGAAGACCCGTCTCTCAATGTCGCCGTCAGGGAGTCCATGTGAGGAGCCCAGGGCAGTGCCTGGCACGTGCCAGGTTGTTAAAATCACATCTAGATCTGAATCTCTTTTAAAAAAATAGTCTTCCTTCTTTTATTGCAGTTGGTTTCGGATTCTTAGAGGAACTGCCTTCAGTAGGAACTGGCTGAAAGAATACTGTACCTTATCCACAGAGTCATCGGGAGGCGACGCGGCAGGACTTGCTGTTCTCCATTGTCCTGAATTCAGATCTGCGTTGTGCAGGATGGACGCAGGAGGTCTGCCGGAGGCTGAGGGCAGAGCTGAGGACCCAGGTTCTGAAAGTGATGGCCTGCCCACTGCTGCACAGCCTGCCTTCCCCCAGGGAGGGCAGCCCCCTGGCCCCACTGCTCTCTGGGACACGCTGGAAAGGAAGTTTCTGGAATACCAGCAGCTGACTCACGGGAGCCCGGATGAACGTCGGGAGAGCCTGTTGTGTCTTCTCCCCCTGTTCCTAAAGGTCAGTAATCTTGTCTTTGAAACGCTGAAAAGACGCTCTGGGTACACTCTGGGAGTGACTGGAAACTGGAGTTGGTTTTAACGTGGACTTCAATAGGTTGCTCAGAGGAAGGTTGTTTGAGTTTGTTCAGGCAGGTGTAAGGGAATATCGCAACTGAGTAGTCCACAAACAGATACTTATTTTTCCTGTTGGAGACTGGCAAGCCCACCACGAGGGCAGAAGTGATGTCTGGGGAGGGCCTGCTTTGGCTCGCAGATGAGCCATGACCTCATGGGGTGGGAGGTATGAGGGCTTTCTTGGGCCTAATTATAAGGCACTAGTCCCATTCTTGGGGGCCAAGTCAAATCACCCTGAAGGTCCTGCCTCCTAATAGCATCACCTCTGGGGCTGGGACTTCCGCACAGGTTTGGGGAGACACAATCATTCAAGCCCCAGCCAGAGTGTCGTGCTGTTTAGTAGAGAGGCCACACAAGGATGGGGCATGCAGGGTGGGGCAGGCTTAGGAAGGAGACCTTTGGCTCCCGAGTGAGACCAGCTCTTCAGTGGAAAAAGAGCCCAGAATTTCATTGTCTAACAACAGTCCCAGCTAGGGAGGCAGAGAAGACCAACTCCTCTGGGAGCTTGGAGAGGAATGTGTGTCCTGCCTTGTGGTCCCAGGGTTGGCTGGTGGCCTCACTCTCCAGTGATGGCCACACCAAGGCCTGGGAGAGCCAGGACGTCTTGTATTGCGGTGTGCCAATCATACCTGCTGAGGTATAGGCCTGGGGGCACCAGGGTCCCTCCCTTCCCTGGTTGCGGGGAAGCCGACCAGGCCACTGGGAGGCACCCTGGTGGTAGCTGGTGTCAGCTGGGATGCAAGGGATGGTCTCTGTTGTCTGGAGCGAAGCTTTTGTCGATGAGCTCTGCTGTGTACTTAGCCATATGGAAGTCAAGTTGTAGAGTTGATAAGGTTGTGCGTGTGTGTGTGTGTGTATGTGTGTGTGTGGCTGGACTTTGGTTTCGCTTGACTATGATTTGACTTGGGTTGTTTTGAAAAGAAATAAACACCTCTAAGACAGTCAAAGTATCTAGAACATGAGATACCTTTTTATATTTGAAAGCAGATTAGGATGGGGGCCTTAGCAGGGTTTTATTGGGAAATTCCTTCATTAATATATTTAAATCTCACTTATTAGCCAGTCATAGCTAAAGATTTCGGAGGATAACCCAGTGCCTCCTTGAATCATAGACGGCGTTGCACAGTTGGCATGTCCTTCTGGAGACGCTCGCCAAGAGCTTCCTGCCCACCATGACGCCTCCCCATGGTTTGGAGTCCCCTAGTATCAGTCTCGCTTCATAGCCAGAATCACTGGGCCCCATTAAGAGATGGTGTGGGTCTCGCATTCCAAGCCCTGCCTGCCCTGACCACTCTGGTTCTGGGAGGCAGGTCAGTCTTAGCCCAGTTCTCAGATCAACTCTGCCTTATAGAAGCAGTGTGGACAGCCCGCCCCCACTGGGCTTCCCCAGAAATGTGTGTGGGATCAGCCTTGGCTCAGCTGCCAGCCCCTGATGAAAGAACTCTGCACCCTGGAGCCCAGACTCGGTTCTTTTTGTTTTGTTTTTGAATTGTCAGAGAGCATGTGCACTCACCAGAGAGAGACCAGAGAGGAAAAATGAGAAATCGGCCCCTGGGGGGATGGCCACACTGCAATCCCCTCCCTCTCCTCCTTTCTCTGTTAGGGGTTTTGGGGGGACACACACACACACACACACACCTTGTTCTCCAAGCCGCAGGGTCCCAGACTCAGACCCCAAGTTGTCCATGTGGGTGTCCAGCGCAACCATAGCCCCTGCTGGCCCCGAGGCTCAGCCTTTCACCTCTCTTCGTACTGACTGGAGGATTCATCCATTTGTTGTCAAATACTCTTTCTTTAAGCTCTGTACTGCGTCCTGGAGCCTGGTCTGTGGTGTGGAGAAGACGGACGAAGGTGCTGCCCGTGGAGGGTGTGGTCCGGCGCGCAGCACACTGAAGGGGCGTGGAGTGTGCTTCATTGCTTGCAGGGGTTTGGAATGAATTAGTGGCCATTTTCCAACATAGACATTTTCACATCAAAACCAGATTCCCAGTTTCTCTTGAAAACCTTGGTGACTGTGGTATTTCTTTTCTTTCTTTCTTTTTTT